CTCAGGAAAGCCCCATTTCCAGCTTGGTTGTGGACAGAGCCGTGGAAGGAAAGGCAGCCTCAAAACATGTGCTCCACAGCTGCTGCTGTGAATGTCTGGCATGGGGAATCCTGTTCTTTTGCAGCCATTTGCAGTGGGAGCAGAGCTGGAAAATGGGGCAACTGCCCTGTGCATCCACCACCTCCCACAGAAAAGCCTTGTCCAGAGAGACCATTCCTCCTCGTTTTCCCTAGAGGTAACATCCTGCCTGCCTCGAAATCCTCTGCTGGCCACGTGTTCCCAGGATCTCCGTCTCTCTGCATTCACGGCTCCAGGTGGGCTCTGCAGCTTTGCAGCCCTGTGCTGCAAATCTTCACCCCCTGCATCCTGGTGGGATGCACGGCAGGGCTGGGGCTTCCCTGCCACCTGCATTTATGCTCTGAGAAGCCAAATCCCGATGGTAAACACACTCCTACACCACCTGGAGGTGCCCAGGGCAGCACAGGATGCACAGCCAAGGGTATATATTTCCAGGAAGGATGGAAACACCGGAGCTCTGGCCCTGAGCTTTGTGGCGGTGAGGATTGATGTTTGAGCCCTCGGGGAGCAGGACTGACCTGCAGCTGCTGAAAGTCCCGGCTGGGGGATTAGAAATAAACCCCTAAGTCTGGCTCTGAAAGGTCAGCTGGTGTGTAACATTTAGAAGAGCCTCAAACTGTTATTTCACGAGTATTATTTTTTATTTCTCCCTAGGAAAGGCAAATATCTAAGCTGCCGTGGGAAAACAAACAAAAAAAAAACAAACAAAAAAAGCCATTCCCGAGTCTCCCCTGTGGATGGGGGCTTTGCTGCCTGTGAACTGGGGTGTGCAGTGAGAGGAAGCCTGGCAGCGCCGTGGCAAATGGCAGTGGCACTGTCACCTCTAATTGATTAATGCCCCTGTGTGTGACAGCCTCGGGGCCAGGGGAGGGTGTTGGAGCAGGACACGGGGCAGCTGCACATCACCCGCCTTGATTTAGGAAGGTGAGAGCTGTTGACAGAAGAGATTTGCACCTCCTGGTGCGGCATTAGCCGCTCCGTTCGGGGTGGTTAACCCTGAATTTGCTCTCCTTGTGCTCACAGCTCCTCTCCTGGGCGCCACCACTGCGGGTGTGCAGCCGTGGTGAGCTCAGGGGGTGGCAGAGATCCCCAAAACGGTGTAAAATGCACATCCGAGGGCTGGCTCCTGCATCCCTCACCCGCTCCTAACTCCCTCCTGAGATAAACTTGACCTGAGCGAGGAGGGCAGATATGGACCCTAAACCACGTTGCCGCAGAAACAACGAGGATGAAATAGTTGACTGAAAGCCCTGTAGGTTTTTTCCCACCCTTGAAGCCCTAATTGCCGCTGACAGTCCCTAAACCCGTGGTTTGCCAGCGCTGTTATCCATCGGTACTTGGCGTGCCGGAGCCGAGCCGGAGCCTGGGGCTGGTTACCAGCACGCAGCCTGCTCTCTCAGCCTTTCCAGCAAACATAATTTTTTCCCCACTCCGAGGAACGAAGTGGAGACAAAAGATTAATCTTCCATGGACTGTAAAATCCTTGGGGTGAGGAGCGTGGCGTCGGTTCAGCGTCTCTGGCAGCCTCTCCGCTGACTCCGACAGACTCTGGGGCGGCTCCAGCCATCCCTCGCCCCCAGCCCGGGAGCGCAGCAGTGCAAATTTACAGCTTATGGGAGAATTATTCCCAATTTCCTTTCGTAGAAACAAGGTCAAAATCAAAACTGGCTGTGGACTTCCCTGCCTCGTACAGTGCTCACTCAGCACTGGCTGGGTCCTGCTGTTCCTCCTGCACCGCAGCCACGGCTAAAAAACCTCCTCAGCAGCCTGGGAGGTGTTAAACCCGCTCCTTTCTTCTTTTTATGGCCTCTTAAGCTCGTCTACCTCCAAAAATTATTACCGTGGGGAAAGCCAAGATAAATAAGGAGGTTAGTCCTTTGCTTCGGGGTTGACCTGCTATAGAAGGGAATCCCCCAAACTCGGGGGGCTGCCGGGGATGGAGCCCCACTACCCCCCCAGCTTGCTCCAGTGTTTGCAGAACCTCCACTTGCAATATTGAAGGTGTTTTCACTCCAGTCCATTTTCCCTCACTGACTAATTTACAGCTCCCAGTCACTAATGGTTTTCACTGATTGCTTAATTATAGGTGGGGTGAATGGTGCTGCCTGTTACCAGGGCTGCCAGATGTTCCCTTTGTAACTGTTCTCCATTGCTCCCAACTTTGTCAAACTTTAACCTTTGGAGCTGCTAGAGTGGCTGCTTTGAGGGCAGTTCCGAAGTTTTGGGGATGTTCTGTTGCATCGGGTCCTCTGTGCCTCTTGTTGAGAGCACATTATGTTTTAATATTATCAGATCACAGCAATTCTCTCCAGGCACCTGGTGGAAATCTCTCTCATGAGGACAGGCTGAGGGAGCTGGGCCTGTTCAGCCTCAAGAGAGAGGACAGAGAGGGGACCTCACCAATGTCCATAAGTATCTGAAGGGGGGATGCCAAGAAGATGGAGCCAGTTTCTTCTCAGTGCTGCCAAGCAATAGGACAAGATGCAATGACAGAAGCTGATGCCCAGGAAATTCTGCCTGAACACGAGGAAGAACTTTCCTGTGCAGTGACCGAGCACTGAACAGAGACAAGAGAGGGTGTAGAGTCTCCCTCACTGGAGATATTCCAGAACCATCTGGACACACTCCTGTGCCATGTGCTCTGGATGACCCTGCTTGAGCAGGGAGGCTGGACCAGATGACCCTCTATGGTCCCTTTCAACCTGAACCATTCTGGGGTTCAGTGGATCGCTCAGCCCTGGGGCAGACCCTGGCTGAGGGCAGCACTATTGCCCGGGGGCTCAGCAGCAGAAACACCACTTTTGCCCCCAAAATGCTCATGAGAGGCAGACGAATACATCGACAGAACTTGAAGAGAGGCGGTACCACAGGGCTGGGGGCTGTGCTTCCTGCAGGAGGGCCTGGGCTGCAGCTCCAGAGCACCCCTGTGCCTCCCACGCCGTCAGCTGCGGTGAACCGAAGAAAAAATGAGTTTATCAAATGAAAAAAAAAAATGAACCTGCACTTCCTTCAGGACCTCTGCTCCTTGTGGGAGCTGCAAAACACTTTCTATAAATGAATCTACATGGCAATAAACAAGCCAGAGCTCCTCCCCGAGATGTCTGCTGTCACTTCCTCGTGCTCGCCGCTGCCTCCGGGTTCTGCTTTGGGGACGTTTCCGTAGAACTTGGGTTTCTCACCCCCCCAAGCTGTCTCGCCTCCCCCCTCTCAGCTGGAGAGTAGTGCCAGTCACCATCAGCCACAGGCTTCTTCAGCAACAGTGGGAAAACTGGAAGTACCTGAAAAGTCAGAAGTTGGTGTTCAGATGGGGACAGTCTTTGGGAGCAGGTTTGAGCTGGGTCACGGAAAAACTGCTGGATGAGGAGCCGGGTTAGGTGCACCATGTGGAAAAGTCCTGCAGATGTGGGTGGTGGTGGTTACCCTCAGCTGTGTTGTACAGGGGATTGTTGGGGCAACCTCCAGATCAGGGTAACTCCTCACGGTGCTGCTGCACGGGGGAGCTGCTAGAAACAGTCATTGTGCTTCTAGGAAACAGTGAATTAAGTAACCTGTTGCAATAAGTGTTGCAAAGGATGATGTAAAGCCCTTGTGTGGTGTAATAGGGCAGCAAGAGGGGTCGAGGCCAGTCCTGCTGTGTTGAATCCTTGCAAAAACATGAGTGCCTCCAGAATGAGCCCCTTCCTTGAATACAGATGTTCTGCCTTCTGCATGGGGATGAGAAGCACTAAGCAGTGAGAGGCGTGAAGTCCCAGGATGTCCAAGACATGCACAGTGAGACTGGTGGTGCTCAGCTTTTACCCCACATGAGGTGCTTTGGTTCCTTCCTCCATCTCCCTGCAGGGACATTTTACATTTCACGTTTCCAAAGCCAAAGGCAGCACAGCACAGCTGCCTCTCTCTGGATTCAGGGCATTGATGGGAACAGTGCTGCTGGTTTTCACAGGTGTCAGGCAGGGATTTGTAATTCCAGGGCTCCTGCTGTCATCATACAGTGCCTCTGATCCCACCAAGGTCCATGAACATGGAACTGCTCTGCTTCCAGCAGGGTGGGAGGAGTGGGGATGGGGCATGCTCAGCTTCCAGCTGGAAGTGGGGTGATGGAGGGGACCCAGAGAGCATCACTCTCTGGCCCCCTTAAGCCCCCCAGCTGAGCTGCACCCACACACCTTTCCCACCTCCTTCTATTGCTCCTAATATTATTTATATTATTTTTGTGATGGAAACATTACCTCTTTTCTTAACAGCTATTTCCTCTGGACTGTTTCCACTGCCCACAAACCTGCCTGCTTCTCAGCCTGCACATCTGCTGGAACTCCAACAGGCTGAGAGAGCTGGGGCTGTTCAGCCTGGAGAGGGGAAGACTCTGGGGAGACCTCAGAGCCCCTTCCAGTGCCTAAAGGGGCTCCAAGAGAGCTGGAGAGGGACTTTGGACAAGAGCCTGGAGTGACAGGACAAGGAGGATGGCTTTAAACTGAAGGAGGGGAGATTTAGATTAGATAGGAGGAAGAAATTCTCTCCTGTGAGGGTGGTGAGGCCCTGGCACAGGTTGCCCAGAGAAGCTGTGGCTGCCCCATCCCTGGAAGTGTCCCAGGCCAGGTTGGACGGGGTTGGAGCAGCCTGGGCTAGTGGAAGGGGGATGGAACCAGATGAGCTTTAATGTCCCTTCCAGACCTTGTCAGAGGGGACGGTGCCGCATCCCGGGGGTCCCGGCTCTGCCCCGCTCCGCGGTCCGGGTCGTGCCGGGGGGGCGGCGCTGGGCGCGGGGCCCCGGGGGAGGCGGGGATGGGGCGGGGCGGTACCGGGGGAGGCGGGCCCGGCGCCGGGCGGGCGGAGAGGTGCCGAGGCGGTGCCGAGGCAGCGCCGTGCGAGCGGCGCTCCGTGTGCCTCGGTGCGCCCCCGGCCAGCACCGCCCGGGCCGGGGCATGGAGGCGGCCCACAGCCTCCCGGTGCTCGACGTGCTCCGCCGCTTCGGGGTCAGCGAGAGCTGCGGGCTCAGCCCCGAGCAGGTCCGCCGCCACCGCGAGAAGTACGGCCCCAATGGTCAGTGCGGCGGGACGGGAGCGCGGGGGGATGCGGGATGGGGCAGGGCTAGCGGGACACTGGCATCTCCAACGGCATCCCGGCTGGAACCCTCCGTCGGGACCATCCCCGCCCATACCGGCACCGGGACCCTCCCCGCCGCGACCGGGATCGGGATGTGTTCGGGAGCCTCCCCGCCAACACCGGGAAGGTCCGGGGTACTGTCCTGGGTCCCCCCCGGCGTGTCCCCCCACCCTGCCCCGGGCGTGCGGAGGATCGGTGGGGATGTGCCGCGGGACACCTGTTGATTAGGGCAATATTTGTTGGCTTTAATCAAAGGCTAATTACTGCGGGTACGGGCGGCCCGGGGCGCCGGCAATTAGCGGGGCGTTAATTCCGCTGGCGGAGTGTCTGAAGGCGGGGAGGGACAGCGGTATGTCGCCAGGAGGGAGAGGGGGAAGGTCCCATTGCCTGTGCGTGACAGAGGGAAACCCCAAAAGCGGGGTGACGGGTGTTGTAGTGGGGGAACCCCGCTCTCGGCTCGCCGGAGCTCTGCACGGGCTGCGGGTACTGCTGTGGAAGAGGAAGGGGGGCGGAGGTGCATGGGGTGACAGGCCATGTGCTGGCCTGGCTGCGTGTCACACTGACCCGGGGGACCCTCTGCGGCCGGCGGGGCATCTTCGTGGGATGGGGAAGGGAAATTTTTAACTTGTGTTTTGTGAGCGTTCAGTGTAGCCGGGGTGTCTGAACCTACGCAGGTGATTTCAGGGTGACTCTGATAGTTCAGGCTGTGACCGAGGTCGGTCGTTAACTCTGAACACGGAAACAGGAGGGTTTAGGGTGAGTTTGCTCCAGTGCTTCGGAGTAGCAAGTCATTTCTTGAACTCGTGCAAAGAGATAAGTGTGTAAACTCTCTCCTGGTTTGGAGCTTGTTGCATCTGCTTTTTGCTTGATCCTCACGGATGAGGCTAAGGAAAGCCTGAGTAGATGCTGGCAGGATTGCTGTCGGCATCTCTGTTCCCTGGGAGGGCCGTGTTGGGTGGGATCAGAGGGCTGTGACCCCTCCAGACGAGCCCTGCGAGCAGCCGTTCTGTGTGGGCTGTGCTTGGGTCCCCCATCCCCCCAGTGCTCCCTGTACCAGGCAGCTTCAGCTCCATCCCCTGGTCAGGGCTGGCTTGGGAGCTCTTGCCATGGAACACTGGAACAAGGTGCAAGCAGTGGAGCATCACACCTGGCTCTGTTTGCCCTCATTTTGGAGAAGGGCAGCTGTGTGGTTAACTGGGAGGGGAGGGAACCCTCTGCTTCGTGGGCTGAAGGCAAAATACATCCTCAATGCAACATCCTTATCAAACAGGTGCTTGGGCTGATTTCAGGGTATAATTGCTCCCAATTTCTGTGCTGTCCCCTGGCCTCCCGGGAAGCTGTGGATGATGGGTGTTCTGTGCTGTGCAGCAGCGTGGCACTGATGGGGCATTGCTGCCGTGGGGCTCCTGTTTGCCCGAGTGAATCATCGTCCCTGAGTCAGGCACAGTGGCTGCTCGGTGGCACCGGGCTCTGCCTTGGAAAAGGTACCTCGAAGGTGTGACATAGGTGCAGAGCAAAGGGTTAGTGGTGGCAATTAGTTTGCCTTTTTACTCTTTTCCTTCTTCCTTCCTCCTCTTGCAAGCAATGGCTCTGTGCTGGCCTCGCTTGGCACTGCTCCTTCCCAACCAGCCCAGCGTTGGGTTTCTCACAGGCTCTTGGTTCTCAAGAGCTTCTGACTTTGGGATGTCCCATGGCTTTTGCCTTCCAAGCAGAGCTCTGCCTCTCCTGTGCAGCACAGCTCACAGTGACATGCCTGGGCGTTGGAGACACTGCCCGTGTCACTGCTCCCATCAGCGAAATATAGTTGAAGATTTTTAAAAATTCTGAATTTTTTTGCAATTTCTGAGCGGTATTTACATTTTTCTCATGGTGCAGATGAGACATGGACAGGTTAGAGCAGCCTAAACCCGTGCAGAACGGGGGTGAGAACTGACAGGTTGTGTTGTGGCAGCAGGCACTGAGCTCCTCGGCCGTGCTCGGGTGCCCCGTTTGGGAGAGCTGCTCTGGGGGAGGGTGCTGGGCTTGGAGATAGCCTGTATTGAACTGCATTTTAGTTTAGGCTTAAATTAAACTCTGTCAGCAGAAGTGTGGGGCAGTTAGGTGACTCGCTTGAGCTCGCACAGAAGGGGAAGAAAACTCAAATCTTGCGTGGCTCGAAGCGCAGAGCAGACCTGCAGCTCCAGCTACTTTCGTTTTCGCACCCTTGTGTCTCACATTCATTCATTTCCTTCTAAAACCTGAACTCCAACTGCCAGTGTGGTCGTGAATCACAATCTAAAATACATCATCTTGCTGAAAAACTGCCTCCTGACACACTTCAGAGAGCTGCTGGCTGCTGCTTTTTTATTGCATTAAAAAAAATATGAGCTGCAACGAGCTCTGACGTTAAGTGAGAAGCAGCAGCCACTGGTGTGCCTTATATAAAAAAAAATATTTTTTTTTTTTGAGGGGGTATTCTTTTGGAGCCTAAATTATTTTTTTTTTTCAGTTCCATTGCCCACATATACATTTGCAGGAGGAAACAGAGAGCAATACTGATTATTTAGTATCTCCAGTTTGTGGCTTGGGAGCCAGGCAATGCAATAGAGATTAGTGGAGTGGAAGAAGATATTTCTCCATTAGGAAGAGCTCGTGTTCTCCTTTTAGCTCTGTCATCAGTGCTGTCAGCATGGCCTTTCATTTGCCAAGAAAACTGCAGAAGCCACAGAACATTTAGGTCTCACCACGGCGATTCTGAATCTCCAAAGCCATTTTTAATTAATAAATGCTTTGGATGTTCCACAGGTACCAAGCGGGTCCTTCCCTATACCTCCTCCCATCCACAAGCTCTGAGCTCCACAGGTGGCTTTTAGACCACAAAACTTAAAAAAAAACCCCCAAAACAAACAAACAAACAGCAATAACCAAATGCACATTTGTTATTTTGTATTAGACTGAGCTGGAGGATATAGGGATGCAAACATTTTTCTTCCTGAATGTAAAACCAGGGGCACAATTCCCCCCGGAATGATTTCAGTTTTGCCAAGGAACGACAGATGTAAACAGGAGCTGCCTCGCGGACAGCCAAGTGATTTTTCTGTTTTAAATATAGCTCCGATTTCTCTCTTCTAAATGGATTTCTGAGTGTAAATGAGCATACATTTCAGGCAGGATATTGCCAGCGTTAATGCATATGCATAATTTTATTTGCTTCACCCGTAACCTAAATGGGCTGTGAATGTCAGTGGAGTCAAACTCGGAGGCTGCAGCATAGGGGTGTTTATCTCCTCTTGCATTTCATCTCTTCTGACTCCAGAGCAGAAGCCCTGCTGCCGGCTGGGGTTGGAAATGCTGCTGGGCAGGATCAGACCCTGCCCATCCACCCTCCTCGGGGGCTCCCCCATCCTCTCCTTTACCCTCCCTGCTCCAGGGGCTGTCCCCCCATGCTCTGCAAACCCTCCTGTGCCCTGCTGCAAGGCGCAGTGGTGACAGTATTCACGGCGTGACTGGTTTAGGCGTTGTTCAAACCAGCTTCGGCACCGGATGAACTCAAAGCCCATGTGCAAATTTGCTTGTCTTTTATAACACCCCTCCCTACGTCTCCGTAAGCCTTATTTCAGGATCCCCCAGTCCTTGTGTGTATTTTTCCATGTGCGTGCCCCAGCCTACCTGGGGGAGAAGGGAAAAGGAGACTTCCCCAAGCCCAAATCCAGGCTGGGATGTGCTGCTGCTCTCCCAAAACCCCACCAAGGCTCATTCTCGAGGGAGCTTTTTGCTCCTTTGCATCCGAGCCCCTGCCCGGCTAGAAAAACCACCGATACTTTGTTATTATTATATTTACTTGCATCCTTTCCCAGCCCATCCCAGGGCTGCACATCCCTCAGCACACACGTGTGCACGCCCGTGTTCCCGCGCGTACTCCGGCTGCGGAGCAGGGCTTGACGTCGGAGGAGCTGCCGGCGGTTGCTAACGAGCCAAGGTTACGCTCCAGCTCTCTCCTGACAATAATAAAGAAGAAAATAAAATTTCTATTTCACGCTGAAATATTTAAGATGCCAGCAAGGAGAGGAAAGGCAGCATTTTCTGACTCATCGAACTCTGCGCTCTGTTCCTCTGCGCATCGCCCACCTTTTCCACCCCCGAAACACACGCTGAACAGTCTGATTCATAAACATGCTACGGGTTGTGGGGCTTTTTTTTTTTTTTTTTTCCCCTCTTCTCCTCCAAATCCTTTCCCTCAGGAGAAATGCTGAGGCATTCAAACCTTGTGAGTGCCTTCAAATCTGGGGAGAGACTACACAAAGTTTTCCTAACCGACGAGAGAGGGAACTCGGGATTTTCATCCCTGCGTGGTCCTCTGAGGTTATCTGCATTCACACCCACCTTTAAAAAAATTGTGAATAGAGAGGAATATTCAAAAAAATTGATATCTGCTCTCAACATGTTGCAGGAACCAGGGAAGGAAGGTTTCCAGGGCAAGGAGAGGCAGAGGCTGTGCTGTGGGTGAAGGGATTTTGCTTGCCTTGTTTCCCCCTGGGGTTGGCCTTTCTGTGGCACAAGTGTTATTTCATGAATATTTTTATTTCATTGCTGGTTTTAAAGCTGGGGGTGGTAGAGCTGGTGCTACAAAACACTGATTTAAGAGGAGCTGGATGCGCTGTGGATGCCCAGATGTTGGCTTGGGATGTGCTGCTTCCAGTAAGGGGCTGGAGCCAGTCCTCCAAATACACCATTAGCAGCAAAATATCCCCCTTCTCCCAGGCTAATCCTCTCCCCCAGTAATTAAGGTGTCTCTTTTGAGCTCCCTACTCCAGCCAAGCCATCCTAGTGCCATCCTTGCCATCACCACATAGCCACACATCTGCCTTTTGCCATTTTAGTGCTGATGGTCTTTCTGCGTGTCTTAAGCCTTTTCTTATCTCTGGATCTTATTTGAAGCTCTTGAATCCCACTCTGTG